CCCCGGTTCATCACAGCTGTGGCTGCTGCTATGTCTCTTCAAGTGGCTCCACGGTGCCCTCTCTGGTCCAGCCAGTCTGGCTCCTCAACTTTGTCAAGACTGCTGGACTCTGACCCCTCACGCTAGATAGCAGGGACTGCCCATCCCAGTGGACGTATATCTTTCCATTGTCCTGTTCTTGAACCCTGTCATCCTGCCAGCTGATTACCAGCCTCACCCATGACCGCATCCGCCTCCACGTGGTTTACTCCCCAGTACTCAAACACTTAGATTACCCTCTTGCTGCTGCCTGCAACCAGACCCACCACTCCACTGTTGTCACTGGCACTCGCCTTCCAAGTCTGGAGCAGCCAGAGAGGCCTGACAACCTCTCCTACCTTCCCCACTTGGCACTGAATTCTCAGCTCTCCCAAAAGAAGGTACGCTACTCTCGTGATAAAAAATCAGCAATAGACAACTGATTTTTTAAAAGGAATCTAAGCCTTCTTTGACTGCTTCTACCATGGTGGGGCTGCCTTGACACCGAGTCTGTCTGTTCCATTCAAAATTAGCAATCCATCTCAGCCTCCTGTCAATCCTCTGGTTCAACAGCATTGGCTGCCCTTTGCTTCAGAAATACTTCCTTTATGCCTCATGACATGATGGTAACTGTGGGACTCAGAAGAGCTGGTTCTTGCTCTGGCTTTGCAATTAACTAGTTATGTGACATTAGGCAAGTCACTTTCTCTCTCTAGACCTGTTTTCTCAGGTGTAGAACAGGCGATGATAGTAAGAGCTTTCATTTGCAGAGTACCTTCTGTGTACCAGGAGCTGGGCTAAGCTTGTCACTCACACTGGGATCATCCCAATGTTACAATGAAAACACAGGTGTCTCCTAGCCTTCCAGCCACTTCACAGTTGGAGGATCCAGGAGAGAATACATGCACGTGCTCTCCAAGGTAAAAGGCAGGACTGAAATGTTCTGAGAACAATACACTTATACACACATCAAGCCCAAACCCTTAGCAGACTTTGATGTTCTAGAAGAAACTACGTATCTCTCTTCTGCAGATTCCTTAATGCATTTGTAAGACTTCTTTATGACTATACACAGAGTAAATTTTCTCTCCTTTCAACATCCCTAAGCTAGACTTGAAGTCTATTTTGGATCTTCACAAAGTGAGAATGAATATTAGAAAGCGCTTTTAACAAGCTCTCCCTGCTGTGCTCCCTCCCCAAGTGATCCATGCAGGCCTTACGCTGCAGTTACCAGATGGATTCAGATCTTTGCCCCGGTGTTCCTCTGAATTGCCTGCTCACCGAACATGTGTGTCAACCTGGATGTCTTCCAGGTGCCTCAAAGGATGTAGCTACCACTAAATTCATGATTGCCCCACCCCCAAGCTCAGTCTGACCCAGGGTTTTCTATGTCGGAGGATGACACTATTTTCCCCTCTCTCTTGCACTCTTTATCCAGTAATCAACATATGTCATTGATTTCACTTCCTAACTACTTCTTGAAGCCATCTCCTCTCCACCCTCTCCATCATTACCGAGTCTAGGTTCCCACCTATCTCTCAGCCTGACAGCAGTAACACTTTCCTAACTGGTCTCCCTATGGCTGCTCTTGCCACCTCCTAGTCTATTCTACACTGAGCAGCTCTAGTGATCTTTTTCAAATGTAAATCTGACTGTCACTCCCCTGCTTCAACCATAATGGCTACCCTTTACTTTCAGGATAGACAATACAATCCTTAGCGTGGGGTAGAAGGTCCTGCCCGGCTCAGCCCTGCCTCCCTCCCAGCTCTCAACACCGCTGCCACTCTGGCCACCTTGCGGCTTCACCCCACTGCTTATTCCCTGCCTCTGGCTTCACGTTTGCTGTCCCTTCTCCGGGAATAACTCACTTCGCCTCAGTAATTCCTATTCACCTTTCAGAAGGTGACTAAATCAAGCTCTTCTTTGTAATACTCTTCTTGGCCCCTGTACTTCACCTCTCTGGCATTTATCAGCCCTGAAATTAAACGATAGTGTAATCAGGCTTCTCTGATCTCTCTCCGCAGGGATGTAAACTAGCATGATGGCAGGACCCAGTCTATCTTGTTCACCAGGCATCCTCAGCACCTAATCACCTGCAGGGCCCCATCTGAGGGTCAACTAGGGTTGACCAACAAAGAGACAAGCCACGTCTTCTTTGTCCTCTTTCAAGAGTCTGACCCACCTCTCTCCTGCTGGGGTCCACACCCTTAGGGAGCTCCTCCACAGGCTTGTTCACCAGCTGCTCCAGGGGGAAGATGGGCAGAGGCCCAGCACTGAGGTCGCTGTTGGCATTGAACATAACCACTTTGGAGCTTATGATCTCCTAGGGAAGAAAAGGAAACCACTGGTCACTTTAGTTGGTATGTGGCTACCTCCCAGGCTGCCTTTCTCTCTGAAGTTAACAGTGGTTCTAGGGCAACACCTTCAAGAAGCCTCCCATGACCCATCCCACCCCAACACACACACACACACACACACACACACACACACACACACACACTCATAAGAACACAACACACTGGGGGGGACCCATGAGCTAACAGCTTAGTACTCTGTATCAGACCAAAGTCAGTTGGTGCAAAATGACTATTTTGTCAACGACTTATTAACTTCTTTGTGGCTTCCCCCAGAGTTTGAGATCTAGCATGGATATTTATGACCCCCTCTCTCTTATCCATTATGAAATTGTCATCCACAAATTCTCTTAGCCTTGACCTATCTATACTTGCCAATCTGCACTGTCAGTCCACCAGGAAGGGTTTATGGAGTGCTACTGGGTTCTAAACCTGTTGATTACCCCAATGTGTTGGTGAAACTGCTCTCAGGTTCTGGGTACATTTCTGCAGAGTTAGCTCTGTCTTGTTTCCCCTGTAAGCCTGTGAACTTCTCAAAGGAAAGGCTTTGATTTCATATTCCCATATCCCAGGCCTACAGGCTCAATACATTTCTGTTAACTCACTGCAAGATCGAAGGAGTTGCAATTATTCTCCCTGGAGAAGGGATCCCAAGGGTGACAGCGTGTAGAGAAATCATTATTTCTCAAAAAAGTGTAGTCCATGGACTTAACTATATCAAATTACCTACACCTTTTATTTAAAACAGGCAGATTCCTGGGTGCTAACCCAAAGTCTACAAACCAGAATCTTTGGGAATGGGGCCTTGGAATCTGCATTTTAATATGCCTCCCATCACCCAGACTTGTATGCATGATAAAATTTCACTAGGAAATGGAAGAAACAAAACTGCTAGAGCCATTGGAGTTAAACAGCAAGAAGAACTTCCATGAGAAGTAGGGAGAAATGGGGAGGAAAGCACAGGACACTGGCGTCTTCTCTGGAGAATTCTCAGCTCCCACAGGTCTGACTGCAGCTGACCACTGCAGGGCCCAGCCGCCCTGGCCCAGACTCACAGCGCTGATCTGGCTCCAGTCCGGAGAGTTGTTCAGCTCTGCCTTCAGGTCCTCATAGGATTTGGCATTCTGCATATAAAGTAAATAACAGATTAAACCTGGGTCTCAGCAGAGGGGACAAAGGGCCATTTTCCCTCAGGAGTGGAAAGAAGGCTGCTCTGGAGCCTGGTGGTGTGAAGGAAAAGAGGCAGCTCAGGCTGAGGCTGGAGAGGGTTCCCTGAAAGAGGAAGTCGAATGGTGGGGATGGAGACCCAAGGGGCTGCCGGAACAGAAGGGGAAGGGCAGGCTGTTTATTGGCCCCTGCTCAGCCTGGCATGGGGATGGAGAGGAATACGATCTTTCCCACCCACAGAGACCAGTGTAAGCAGCCACAGGCAGCGTCCAGAACCTGCCTACGTTGTGCAGACTCTGGGGACCAGGTGGGCTCCTCCCTGAGCCTGGAGGGAGCCCTGCCGCTGAGGAGCGAAGGGACCATGGCTCCCTGAGAAGCCCCATCTCCATATGCCCGGGCCGGCACCGAGCGTGGCACACCAGGAGTTCCATTATGCTGAATGAATGAGACTGAGACAGAAGCCAGCGCAGACTTGAGGCGAGGAAGGGGCTACCAGGGTTACTGACTCGAGGCACTGAAGTGGGCTGGGGAAGATCTGGAGTCTAGATTTGCTGCCTTGACATTTGTTTGACTCCACCAGCCCATGAGCCAAAGAATTAAAAAAAAAAAACAGCTCATCTCTTGTGCCAATTCAGAGTACCTGGGGCCATCAGGACAGGCTCAGTCTACCTTGGCATTTCTCCTTTCTTCAGAAAACCTTTCCTACAGCTCATTCTGAGGACCCGCCCTCCACTCCCCTCTGTGTTCAGGAAACATCTGTGGAAGCCTGACGCACGGTCTCTCAGGTAAGGACAGCACGTAGACCCATTTTGCTTAGAATTTAGTGCCTGAAAGCCATTTGTCTGTCCTTTAGAACTGACGTATTTCCTTTCAGCTGGCGGGAGCCACTGGCGCCGTCTCATAGAAGGTTGCTGCGGGGATGAGAATGTTCCCTACCTGCGCTGTCCAATACGGTAGCCACAGACCACGTGTGGCTGCTGAGCACTTAAATTTTGGCTAGTGAAGAACTGAATTTTCATTTTGTTTAATTTTAAATAGTCAGTACAGCTCTAACCTATAAAACCCAGCAGTTTTGAGCTAAGTACAGCACACAGACAAGGCACTGTAGTTAGCCTTGGTTTTTGATAGACTTCTTCCCTCTCTCTCAACAGATGGCATCATGGTCTTACTGCAGCCTTTTTATTCTGAGCCCCCTGGTAACCCCTTTATAAATAAGCAAGTCGGATATCCCAAAGGGACAAGAAAGGCCTGTGGGAGTCGGCCCTGCCTTCAGGGGTGTGCCACAAAGAAGCCACCTAGAGAAGGACGTGCTGGGACTACTCACACTCCACTTGAAGGGGTCCCAAGCAAGGAACCAGCCCGTGAAGGTGGGGGGCTCATAGCCCTGCTTCACCACAATGATGGGGGTCTCAAGGTCACGGCCACTGGGATGGGTCTTGATGTATTCCTGCACAGTGGTGGCTGCGGCCTTCTTTTCCTCCTCATTGGCGTGCTTCCCGATCCAGAAGAAAATCTGTCGCACATCCCGGGAGCTCAGTCAGTCCTTCCTGTGCTCCCCAGCCCACGGGTCTCTGCCTCAGTTCATTCCAAATGTCCAACAGTGGAGCCCTGACCCTGCCACTACCCAGCCAAATGACCCAGGACAGGCCCCACTGGCCTTGATTTTGCAGCTGGGAAATGAGGAGGTTGGACAGATGCCCTCTACTTGGATATTCTACAAATATGTGTGACTTCCAGTCTCTCCAGAGCCCAGGATTCTCAAAATGACTCCTGCTGCCACATGAAATACATAGGACTTTGGGAGAGAAAAGTTCTGCCTGCCCCGCGTTCCCTCTGAGCACATTCCTCCCCACTTTCCTTCTTTTTCTTAGGCTCCTGGTGTTCGTACCATTCCCAGGGAGACAGTACATGAGGGCCAAGAAAATGCTGACACTTACCTAACCCTAAAGCCACTCTTTCTTGGCCCTGGGGATTGGAAATGGGTGATGAGGGGTTCCCCAGGCCCTCCGTCCTACCTCGTCCCAGACATCTAGCAGGAACACATCGTCCTCTTCCAAGTCATCCTGATTAAAGTCGGGGATCTCTGTGGCCAGGAAGCGCCCGGTCTTGTTGGAACATTCAAAGAGCCTTGGGGTGATGACTAGGTTTTCTTCCTGCAGTCTACAGGATGGAGAGAAGGTGGTGTTGGCAGGAGAAAGGTGAGGGGAAAGGAGAATCAAGGACATAGAACTCTGAGGGGGGGACTCTGGCATGAAAAGGCCATGTCCTAGCAAATGCTTTGTCTTATGATTGACAAAAGGGTCCCCTTTTGTCCCAAGAGTGCTCTAAGGGAGAAATTCCCACTGCTTTTCCAGACATGCATTCCAGTTGCTCTTCCATAGCCCTGTTAGGAAGTTCTTCCTGATATCTTTCCTCTATCCCTCCTGCTGCTACTGTAGCACCTGCCCTTTTGCTTTTGAACTGGGGAATAGTGGATCATGGATATTCTTTAGAAAAATCATTTGAGGCCGGGCGCGGCGGCTCATGCCTGTAATCCTAGCACTCTGGGAGGCCAAGGCGGGAGGATGGCTTGAGCTCAGGAGTTCGAGACCAACCTGAGTGAGAGTGAGACCCCATCTCTACTAAAAATAAAAAAAAACTTAGCCGGGCGCCGTGGCGCATGCCTGTAGTCCCAGCTACTCGGGAGGTTGAGGCAAGAGGATTGCTTGAACTCAGGAGTTAGAGGTTGCTGTGAGCTAAACTGATGCCACAGCACTCTAGCCTGGGCAACAGAGCAAGACTCTGCCTCAGAAAAAGAAAAAGAAAAATCATCTGAAAGAGGTGGCTGGTGCTCCTCAGCGTCCCAGGTCTGTGTCAACACCTAAAGGCAGGGACTGGGCTCTGGCATGTTCTTCCTGAAGGGCAAGCCTATAGCCCTGTCCCTCTCTTTGAGCTGCCTCCTGTGGCTATGGACTCCCTTTGCCAAGGAAATACCCCTCCGGGCCCTCGCATACCATGGTGAGCAGCACAGACACAACTCCTGTGCCAAGAAACTTCAAGGGCATGGGCTGCCTCTTGTTCATCTTATAGCTCTGGGGGCCTGGCACAGTGCCTGGTGCACAGAGTCCTCAATCCGTGCCTGCTGCAGGCTCTAGGTATGGAGGTGGAGATGCTGCAGCCTCTGCAGGTGAGCTGCAGCGAGAGTTACCTCTTGCTGTTGGCATAGGGGGCCTTCCCGCCCAGGGCCATCCAGAAGTTGTCTGGCTCCTGCCCTTCCACCACCACTTGCTTCTCAGTCCGGGAAATGATGTCAGCAACCATCTTGGCCATCTCTCGCTCATCCCCACTACAGCCCTGGGAAAAAGGGGGGGTCGGCCAAGCTGGGGGAGACCATTTCTGGTGCCATCCCATCCCCATTCTTCTGCTACATTCGCTGCCCAAAGTTCCAGGGTCTGCAAGGACTCTCCTGGATCAGGACCCTGAATACACAGCCAATGCAGGGACAGTTTTCCCATCCTCTCCTGCCCTTGACACTCCAAAGACTAGCAGAAGAGACAAGGGAGTCTACACTCCTCTTAGAGGGTGGGAGAAGGACTCCAAGAAGCTGTGAGTCCTCCTTGCAGAGACAAAGGGAGAGGCAGCGACAGGCACAGATAGTGAGAGAAAGCCCAAGACATAAAGACACACCAACCCTGGGGCAGACAGGGGTGGCCAGAGACACACAGAACAACAGAGATGATTCAGACATAGAGGCAGAGAATCTGAGGATGGTCAGAGATGGGGCAGAGAGACAGACCCAGAGCTACGGAGGAGGGAGACTGGGCCACAGAGGCAGCTGGGAATGGAGCAGGCAGGATTCAGTCAGCCAGCTCTGAGACTGCGTGGTTCCGAGACCCACTTGGGGATGGGGAGACCTCTAGGCCCTGCACACACCTTCCCACACCATAGGTAGCAGCAGGACTGGGTCCTGAGGATGAAGACATCATTGGAGTTGAGGGAACTGGCCCGGGCTAGGACCTCAAAGGCCTTGGTGTTGTTGGCACTGGTTCCCCGGACCTGGAACAGCCGTGTGGAGGGCATAGGCTCCAAGTTGTTGGCTCGGGAGGTGCCTCCCTGCAGGTGTGGGGAGAAGGCAGGCAGACAGAGCAGGAAGAACTTAGTCCAGAAAACAATGGGGCAGGAGAGGGGCACAAAGAGAACCAGAGGAGGAGAGGTTGGGCGGAGTCTGTCTGCCCCTCTGGGTCCTCTGATACCATCACCAGGCTAAGTCCCCTTCCCTGAGGACCTCTATGGGCAATCCCAGATGACTGTATTCACACTCCCCTCTTGACTCAACTTTTATTTCTAGCATTTAACCACACAGTGCCTCAGACTGTTAGTTCACTGCTCCGGCACAATGGTGTGCCATCTTCTCCTCGCTGGGCGAATTGCAAAGGACTATGTGCTGAGTAGATGCTCCAGAAGTAGATTATTGCTTAAATGACTGCACGTGATGTCTACTTCATTTTGTTGGAAGGCACCCATGCAGTTTGCCCATGGGCTTCATTTAGGCAAATTGAGCCAAAATAACTTCCTTTTTCAGGCAGAAAATTCAAGGAGTTGGGGAGTGGAGGGCAGACGTATTTGCACGTGGCGAGGGCTCATTCCACGTATTTCTAAAGTAACCAAATGGTTGTTCCTGTTACTAATTCCACATAGGTGATGGAGCCTTTGATGGCCCTCTGCTATGAAGAATGGGCTTTACCCTCTGCCCCGCCCCCACCACAGCCCCCTTCCCCGTCTCCTGGACTCCCACCCCTCCTCAGTGCATACTGCCAGGTGCCTCAGTCCAGCAGCCACACCTGGTAGACCACCATTTGACCCTTGAAGATGGCCATGAGGTGGGGCGGCTCCTTGCCCATTGGAACCCGGATCTGAACCGGTTCATCATTATACTTCCGGTCCAGGATGACGGCTTGATAGGCCGAGGCGGCGATTTCATCCTGGCTGGCATGGCTGCCCTGGGATGAGCAGGAGGGAAGGCAGGCGATGGGTCAGCCCCCAATCCTGACCCCATCCTCAGCCTCGGCAACAATTTCATCCCCAGTTCTGACCCAGCCCCAAACCCAACTGTTTCCCCACCAAACCCGACTCTGGACACAGCCAAAATCCCAGCCTGACCCACACCTCAATTCTGACCCCAGCCCTAGCCCAGCCCTGACCCACCTGCAACCCCAGGCTTGACCCCAAACCTCCTCTCCTCCTTCCTCAGGGAAGCACCCATCTCCCCGCTCCCTCACATCTAGACATGGAAACCCAAAGGCAGAGTAGGTGAACAGAGCGTGCAGAAGGAATGAAAGGAAAAAGATTGTGAATGGGGGTACTTAGTAGGGTCTCACAGCCGAAGCAGTCCTAAGATAGAATGGGCTGCCTCTTGAGGAGCTGAGCTCCCCATCCCCAGAGGTATTCAACCCAAGGATGATGGCCATTTGGCAGGAGTAGGTGGAAGGGGAAGCTGAGTTGGCTGTGCTCTGGGTGGGACAGGGTGGGGCCTGACCTGCCAAATGTAGAGCAGGTAGTGCTTCTTCTCGCCAATGAGATAGGTGTAGAGCAGCAGGTAACAGTCACCCCCGAAGAAGTGGCCTAGCCACTTGGAGTCCACAGGCACCAGCTCTAGGTTTTCAATGCGCCACACCTGGGGCCAGTGTCAGGGCGGTGTGAAGTCCAGGATGGGCTCCACCAGCCCTGCTCCACCCAGCACGGGCCTCCCTCCCCTCACACACCTGCACCTCTCCACTCCCGTCGTCTACCATCTTCTGCTGGGCAGCTACCTGAGGCTGGACATGCATGGACGTGGCATCAAACTTCACCTGCTCCACCTTGGCTGGAGTGGGGGGAATCATGACAGCAACTGTCAGCAGCTGAGGTCCTCCAGGTCCTCACAACAGCCCTGAGTGGTGGCTACAATTCTTAGACCCACTTTACAGACGAGGAAAGCAAGGCTAGAGAGATTCAGCAGGCTACCCAAGGTCACACAGAGAGAGAATGGCAGAACTACAACACAGAACCATATCTCCTCGCCCCTAAGGCTGCTGCTTCATCAGTGTCTCCTGGGGAAGCCAGGAGAGGGACAAGAACAAGGATTTAGTTTTGTTGACCTCCCCCATCCTGACCCCTGCAGCATTCAGATTTCAAGCTCAACAGTGAGCTCCACGACAACGATGAGGGTGCATATTCTCCTCTTATCCTCCCAAGCGCCTGGCACCGGGCCTGCCCTCAGCAAATATTGTCTGCTGAGACACGGAAGCCATTCGCTTCCCAGGGAGGCCTGACCCCATCCCAAATGAAAGGCAGGTCATTCTCAGCTCCTATTTTGTGAACAACTCGAGTTTGTCCATGTTCCCTCTTGTCCCCACCCCACCAGGAGAAGCCCAGAGCCAGGGTACGAGTGCATGGAGGAGGCACGTCAGGGAAGGAGGGTGGAAGCCAAGGTGTTCTCCCGGCCCAGCCCCTGGATCCCAGCTCCCCCTCTGCCATGGCCTTGGCCCTCACCCACGGAGCCCACGGTGTGGGTTTTGCCCAGGCCTGAGGTCCGGCCGGGCACGGTCCACTTCTGGAAGAGCTGCTGAAAGACGGCTGACTCTGCCCCATCGTTCTGCACCTCTATCTGTGTGCTTTCTGGGTACTGCTTGGCTTTGATAAAGTTCTGGGAAGAGAAGGGAGTTGCTGGAGGCCATGTCCCTCCCCCAGCCCTCACCCCCAGGGTAGCCCAAAGCCTGGCTCTAACACCAACCAGACCCACCAACAAACCTACCTCTGGTCCCAAACCTTAACCCAACCCCAATCCCAATGCTCACCCCAAACCTAACCCTACTCTCACCCCAACCTTAAGGTCAAAACAGACACCATCTCAAACCTAACACTGGCCTCAAGCCTTATTCTGGCCTCAACCCTAAATCTAACATGAGGCTGACCCCAAACCTAACTCTGATCCCAATCCCAAGGCCAAATCTGGCCCCTAGCCTGACCCCACCTCAATGCTAACTCTAATGCCCAGCCCTCAACTATAACCCTGAGCCCATGCCCCAACCCAACACCAGCCCCAAGCTGGTTAGGGTTACTAACTCCAGCCCCAGCAATGACCCCAAACTCTGACTTGGCCCAGGCCTCCAGCTGACCCAATCCCCTTTTGTAGAAAGGCCAGCCTCTATTTCTCCCTCCCCTCTCTAAACCCAGCTCGAATGCAGGGAGCTGAGAGCCCCCATCCTGAGGAGGCCCCAGGGTTGCCTGGTGGTTGGCTCCCTGGGATGCGGAGAAGCCCCCAAATGGCTACAGAACGGCCTCTCCCAGTCCTCCCTGGCCTCTGCCTGTTGCTGTGCTCTGGCTTGAGCCCTCCTGCCCTCCCCTGCTGCTGCCTGCTTCACCTCCCCCGGCTCTGGCCCTCATCCCGGCCCCATCTCTACCAGCGCCTGGCTCATGGCGCCCTGCTTCTCCTCCTTGCTGGCGTTCTTCCCCCTCCACACGTAGATCTTCAGGCCTCCCTGGTCCAGGATGTAACAGTCCTAGCGTGGGCAGGAAAGACCCAGCCGAGAGTCAGGTGCTGGGGTGGCGCGCTGGAGCAGCCTCACGTGCGAAAAAGCCTCTTTCCCTCCCAGTGCCCTGGAATTTCTCCTGCTTGGGGAGAGGTGGCTGCTGTGGGCTGGGGGCCTCCAGATCCTCTCACCTCGTGACTGAGCAGGTCCTGTGTGAGTGGCCGTGTGGCAATTTCCCGAACCACCAGTTTCCCCGTCGAGTCAGACACACTGCAGGACAAAGGCCAGGCATAGGTGGGGAGGGACCCAAGCCCCTCAGACTGGCTCCCCAGCCCCGGGAAGATCCTGCCGCACACTCACTGGTACAACTTGAGGGTAGCCTTGAGTGCCGGCTCCACCACGGTGTCAGGCACGGCTGCCTTCAGCTCCCCGCGCTGGCCCAGCACGTGCTTCATCACCTCCATCAGCTGCGGGGATGCAGATTCGTCCTCCCCGTCCACCACGCCCACGTAGGTGCGCCCGCCTCGCTCCTGGTCTCGGATCTCCTTGGCCAGGGTCATGCCCTGCAGGAAGGCCCCCAGTGGCCCATGAAGGCTGGCGAGGGACAAGGCAATGCCTGCCACCCTACGCCCCACCAGGCAAGCCCCAGCTCACCCACAGCAGCCACAAGGGCCGAGGCACCTGCCCAGCTTTCCCCCTCACAGGGGCTGAGCTTTTCAGGCGCGTGAGGAAACCCGGGGAAAAGCGGCAGGGACAGCAGCATTCCCCGTGGGCCGGCTTGCCGGGCCTGCAGCTTTGACCGTGTTTGACATTTGTGATTTTTGACTTCACAGTTTTGGACAAGAGCTGACGCACGCGCACTCACACACACACGCACACCACACACTGTCACGCGCGCCCGACTACTGTCCCAGTTCCTGCCTTTGAATCCCGGGTCGCCTGTCTCTCCACTCCCCCCAGGCTGTCTCTCCGAGGCTAGGGCCTCTGGAGATTGCAGATGCCCAAATTTCTGTCTCAGCCCAGCTCTCTCCCAACTTGTTTGTCCCAGTTCCAGGAAGACAGCCTCATTTTAAGGTGACCACAATGGAACGCTCTGTTTTCCCCCCAAGTCTGTGGCTTTCTGATCTTTCCCACCTCAGGAATGGGACTCTGACCATTCCCCTGGTTTGAGTTTGGCCTCCCTTCTCTCTCCCTTCTCCCTCTTCCAACACACAAGTACTTCTGGTGGATTCCACCTCCCAAGGCCGGCCTGGGCGCTGCCCCTGGGCTTCCCCTAGATGGCTGCAGGGGGTCCCCGCTTCCCTTGGTCTCTCCCCTGCCCCATCCCTACTCAGAAGTCACAATGACCTTCAATGGCCCCCCTGGCACTGAGAATAAATCCCAACCTGCTTGCACAGCCTTCTGGCCACACAGCCTGCCCCTGTGAGACCCACCCAACTTGCTCTGCTGCTCCTGCTTCACTGGGAGACCCTGGCCGGCCACCCTCTTTCCTGCCTTAGGGCCAGCTCCTCCCCACTCCCCCGTGTCCCAGAGCCTCCCCTGAGCTCCCGGCGGCTGGCCATCCCTCCCGTATACTTCTCCAGTTATTCCCTTTACATCTGTCTCCCCCGCCCCCCACCCCGGGACAGCCCGCTGGAGGCCAGAGCAAGGGCAGGGCTCTGCCCATTTCATTCACCCCTGAGTCCCAGAGCTTGGCACGGGGTCTGCTGCACTGCAGGAACTCTTTCCATCTCAGTGGATCAGCTGCAAGTACACACATGCAAACTCCAACATGTGTGCCTTTCCCATGCACAGGGAGACAGCTCCACCTTCAAACACACCGTCGCCAACAGTCAGGGGCCAGAGGCCTGGGCTGGGGCCAGTCTGGGCAGGAGCAGGTGGGGGCAGGCTGGGATTTGAGGGTGTGGCGCACAGGTGGTTTACCCTGAGTCTCTCCATGCGGTTACTCTCCGGCCCGTTCCACTGGATGATGAGCTTCCCGAGGTCCAGGAGGAAAACATCTCCTAGGTTGAAACTCTTCCAGGACATCTCCACCTGGGGAGCCATGGGGGAGGAGGCTCAGCCCCCAATAAGAGCCCACTCGTCATCCACCATCCTGCCCCTCCTCCCTCCTCAGCCCCTGCCCTCTGTTCTTAGTGGGGCCTCAGAGCCCCAGCCACTGCCCCACTGGGGCCTGCCCACCTCTCCAGCCACCACGTTCCTCTTGCCCTTGACGTGCAGCAGCCGCCGAACGTCGTAGGAGTTGGTCTCCACGTGCTTCATGCCGGAAGCTACGCCCCCTTTCTGGATCCTGAGAGGAGAGGTGAGCTGACCCAAGGGAGGGGGCTGGGAGGTGTACCAGGCCCCTGCCCTTCCAGGTCCTGGGCTGCCTGGCTGCCAGTGGGGGCATCTGACGGTCAGGCGGGCACTAGGTGAAGTGGACGAGGCACTTGGGGTGCAGACCTTACGGAGGCACCAGTGTCAGGGTCCTACAAGTGCAAGGTCGGCCTGCGCTTGCCTTTGCAGGACCCTGACGGTGAGAGCCTCCCACAAGTCTGCACCCTAGATCCTCACTCACCTCACCCTAGTGCCTGCCCTGTGGAGGGCCCTGCCAAGATGGGGTGGTGGCACGCGGAGAGTGGCCAACGTGGATAGGGACAGGGCCCCGAGGGCAGGGGAATGAAGTGGAAGAAAAGAAGGGAGAGGTGCCACTCGAATGCCCACAGGAGTGGACTACTGCCGTAGTGTGGGACAGGGGAGCAAGACAAAAGCGGGGGGCTATGGCTAACTCTCCTACAGGTCAGGAGCAACTCAGCTCCAGAGCGTGTGTTTCCGGGGAAAAGCCAGGGGGCCGGAACTTCAACTTGTGCGGAAGAGCCGGCAGCCTGGGTTTTACTGTGCTAGCCCTGCTTTAGAGAGGACGAGGCGGCCATCGGCCTGTGGGCCAGAGGAGGGTTGCTTAGGTACTGAGCTCTCCAGGGCACTCCAATGGGAACCGATGCATGAGGGTTACAGGATTTCAGAACAGTGTCTGGACCAAGCACAAAGCAGTGGCAGAAATAAGGGTGGGGGGTGGAAAAGGAAAGAAAAATCACCAAAATCCCATGAGGGTCCCCCTTGCAGCTCCCCACATAGCCTCAGGTTCCCTTCCCGGGCCCAGGTCACCTCCACTGCCCAGGTCTTCTCCCTGCGCTGGGTTGGGCCCTGACCTCCCCATCCCACCGCTAATACGCATCCCCCCCAGCCGTAGTGCGCCCCTCCCTACACCATGCCCTGCTTGAAGTAGCCTCGGAAGGTGTCGCTCTCATTGCCCTGGACCTCACGGTGCTGGACAGCCCGGCCCTTCAGGTAGTCGTCCATCTGTGTGGTGTAGATGGCAGCTGCCCCCTGCTCATCCTGTGACGAGTCCTGGCCGATCCAGTAGTGGATGTCATAGGACAGGTTGTTGCCCGTCTTGTGGATCTAGGGAGAGGGGGTCCAGTGTTCCCGGGGCCCTGGGCTCCCATAGCCCCTCCCACTCCCTGTGACCTCCCGCACGTGCGCCATCTGGGAACACAGGTGAGCCCGGCACAGGGGAACTGCACTGGCTGGCGGTTGGGAGCCCTGAGTCGGGGCCCAGCCCTGCCACTGACTCTGAGACCTGGGGCAAGTGCTTCCGCTCTCTGGGCCTCACTCGCCTCCTCTCGGAAATGACTTGCTTGGACTAAAGCAGCTTTTCCCAGAGTGAAGCGAGTGGACCATGAGAGGTCCACGAGGTGATCAGGTGGTGTACAAGCAAATGTAGTACGTGAAATTTTTGTGTGAGTATTTTACAGCTGCTTTCTAGGTGTGATGCATGGCACTGCCTTCCATTTACAGCAATGTGTAGAGTTATAGTCTTAAATAAATATATTTAAAATTTAAAAGTGAGTCAATATAAAGAAAAATAAAAATACAAATGCCTTAACAGCATAAGTGGTACCAGGGTGTGGTGAAAATCAAGGTGACATAAAGATTACTATGGATTTTGGAAACATGGACTCAAGTTAGGGCAACATGGCACCAGCTCAGGAGGTCCCCTAAGACTGAATCCACAGAAGGTCGTCTCAGCTGGGAGCTCAGCCGGCTCTACGGCAGGGAGAGCCTCTGACCCTGTAGAGCGACCACAAGGCTGGGCACCTGGGCACACCCAGTAAATCCTGTCTCGGGGAGAAGCCAGGCCAGCCCTCCCCTGCTCTCCCCAGGCTGCGTCTCCTCAGTGGGCTGCGCTCTCTGCTCGGCCCCTGTCCGGCCGGCGCCCACTCACAGCCAGGACTACGTAGCAGTCACCATCAAAGAAGGTCCCAAAGGTGCTGGAAGGAACAGGCACCATCTTCATGGCCTAAGAAGAGAAAGAAGGTCAGAGGGGGCTGCTGGACCATGCAGGACTCCCGAGGCCTAGGAGGAGGAGGGTGACCAGGGGAATGGGTGTGAGGAGGGCACGAAGAAAAAGAGCAGGGCCCAGGAAGGAAAGGAGAGGAAAGGAAGAGGTAAGAAGGAAAATGTGCGCAAGGGGCAGGAGAAGGGAAACAGAAGGAGGGAAAGGAAGAGGCAAGTGAGGAGGAGGATGGAGGACGTGCAGAAGAAGGATGAAAGACAGATGAGGAAGAGATGGAGGGAAAGGAAAGGTAGGGAAGGCAGGGCAGGGGGTGTGGATGATGTGGGAGGTGAGGGCAACAGGCAGGACTGCAGGAAAACAAGAGCAAGCCCAGGACTCTGCCTTCCCGCACTCCACCCAGGCCCGCGAGCCCCCCACGCCCAGGCAGGGCTCACCTCAATCCTCCATATCTGCAGCCCCGGGGTGGTGGTGTTGAGAGAGCCTTTGACTTGGGCATTCAGTTCGGTCATGGTGAGCGAGCCTAGGAGTGAGGGCACGTGGGAGCAGGGCCGAGGGGGTGGAAGCACCCAGGTTCCAGGTGCTGCCCCTCCAGCTGGGTGGCTCTAGAGATCTCCCAATAGTGCTGGGAGGTGGCAGGCTCGGGGGCTGGGGGGAGGAGGGCAGTTGGCGCCCCAGTCTAGCTTCTGATCCCCGAGGGCCCTGCCTCCAGCCTTCCCACCCAGCTCTGAACTTGACATTCTTGCTCCAGAGTCTGCCCGGACTCCCTGCACCCGCCGACTGAAGGCCCCACTCCTCAGCCTGGCACTCAAGGCTCTTCTGTATCTAGCCCCAAATAAATTCCCCTTTTGAAAATGTTTTATCAAGGCCACACTTGATTAAAAAAATTATACAGATTTTTTT